TCAGTGAAGCTGTTTTCTGTCTTAAAGGGAGGGAGTCATATTTCTACTTGATACTCACTAAAATTCCATTTAGTCCCAAAATTTAATCTGGCCTCAGACAGGTTGTCTACCATCCAAATAATGAGGTCAGTTGACCTGAGCCTCTCTCTTTCCCAGACACCCCTCTTTCTTACTCAGGATGGGTGGATATCCAGCAGAAAGTAAAAAGACATAATAAAAAGAGCATTGGACTTTGAGTCCAAAGACCTGGATTTGAGTCCCAGACCCAGGACTTCCTTAGCTAATGTGACTTGGAGCAAATCACTTCCCCTCCCTGTGCCTCTGTCCCCATATCTGTAAAATGAGAGCATGAGACTCAGTGATCTTCAAGGTCCCCTTACACTGTAAAATTCTGTGATTCCATCTTCTGCCCACTCCAGGGATGATGTAACTCAAATCACTGGCTGTAGACCCGAGCATTTCCTGGGATATTCCCAGTCCTAGCACTGCTAGAATGTGCCTTGTAAGAATCTCTGTAAGGCTACCTACATGGTGCTTTCACTTTCTTGGATCCTGTGAAGGATTACACCTCCATAGCACTAAAATGTAACAGAATCAACTGACTCCATTTTCAGCCACAAGACGGGTATCGTATCGTCCAACACTTACAGTACATTGGCTGGCCTGCCTACCGGGACACACCTCCCTCCAAACGCTCCCTTCTGAAGGTCGTCCGGCGACTAGAGAAGTGGCAGGAACAATATGATGGGAGGGATGGACGAACTGTTGTCCACTGCTTGTAAGTGTAACAAAATCCCCTCCAGCATTGTGAATCATGTTAGGTTGGCAGATGAGGTGGACCTTAGGGAAGTATCAAAGCATACAGACAGATGCACCCAATGAGATGGGATTCAGAACCATGGATAGTTCCTGCTGTCTGCTGAAGAAATCCAATAGCAATCCAAATGAAACACTGTAGTAGGACCTAGGAATCAGGAGACTGGATTTCTAGTGCTAGATCTGCCACTGATTCACTCTGTGATCTGAAACAAGTCACATCCCCTCACTAGGCTTCAAGTTTATTATCTCCCACTTTATAGATTTCCCTAACTGACAAGGCATCTCTAAGGTTCCTTCTAGGTCTAAACCCTATAAACCTACAAAAGCATTTTGCAAATATCAAAGTGCTATAGAGATGGGAGTTATTATTATATACTTTCTTCAGTTCTACGAGGGGTATATGATGTCCCTGATAGGGATATTTATTCTACTGGTGGGTGGCTCAGCACATAGAGCACTGGGCCTGAATTAAAAAAAGAACTGAGTTCAAATCCAGCCTCAGACACTCACTAGCTGTGTGATCCTGGGTAAGTCACTTAACCTCTGTGTATCTTAGTTTACTGGAGAACATGGCAAGCCACTCCAGTATCTTTGCCAAGAAAAGCCATATGGGGTCACAAAGAGTCAGAGATGACTGAACAACAGCAACAACAGCAACAACAAGTAGATCACAACCCACCCACACCTTTTCATTCTCTATGATTCTCAAGCATGCCTTTCTGCAATGTCTCCAGAGGTGATCTACCCAACACACTGGAGGTCTTCTGGCCTTCTGCCATGTCATGAATGCTAGGGCAATGCTCAGGCTTTCCCATCTCTTGCTACATGACTGGCTCATGTCCTTTTCTAATTAGACAGGTCCTTGACAATGGCTCTCAGGCTCCCTATTGTGTATATATCAGTGTTAGAAATTTGTGTTCCCCTACATTTAGATGATGATGATATATTGTAGAAGGTCTTATGGTAAGTGGAGGGAGATAAAAAGATAAGCCATTGCCCCTGTCCTCAGCAAGGTTACTGTCTATTAAGGAAATAAGATATAGACACAAATGACAATAGTATATTATAGATGACAAAGTGTTCTGATGGTTTATAGGAGAGAGATCCACTTCATCAGGAGCTCGTGAAAGGCTTTAACTTGTGTTTTATCCCAGTTGTCACTTCTAGGAGGCAAACCTTTTTTTTTCTCTGTACCTAGAAATGGCGGTGGACGAAGTGGAACCTTCTGTGCCATCTGCAGTGTATGTGAAATGATCCAACAACAAAATATCATTGATGTGTTCCATATAGTGAAAACATTGCGAAACAACAAATCCAACATGGTAGAAACGCTGGTAAGTTTCTAGAGACTAGGAGGAGGGACATTGGCTTAAACTAATTCTATTTAATTCAATTCAACAAACATTTTTAAGCACTTATATGCTAGGCACAAGACTAGACACTGGCAAGGCAAAGGGAGAAGATCAAAACAGTCCCTGCCCCCAAGGTTCTTACATTCTACTAACAGACTTTACAGAAAATAAACATAAATCAGAGTAGGGACCAAAAGTCTGGAATTTATTTCTATTCCTCCCAGAAATACCAGGCCCTTGGCTCTGGGATGGGCCAAAGGGAATATTACCCTACTCTATGAAAAGTCCTCTGCCAATACAATCCTCTCCAACATAGTCCAGTAAAGCCTTGTTCACACTAACTTTTGGGGAAAAGTCAATCTGAATCATCTAAAAAGAAATTTTATTTATAAGTACATTCAACAACTAGGATTAGGATAAAAAAATACTTTTTTACTAATGTATTAATAATACTAATGTATAAATCAGATATTGTTGAACAGGAAAGATGATTGCACAAATCTGTCAAAGTATCAAAGAATTAATTATAATTAGCATACTACAATACTACAAGGGTCTGTCATTTCATCCATTGGAGGGAGTTAATCCCTCCAATGAAATTTATCATAAGCTCTATGTGCTTTAATAGGTAATTTCAGGAGTTGCTATGACTAAAAATAAACCATTCCCAATCAGCTAATGATAAGCCTCCCTGAACTTGGCTAAACTGACTGTTGTATATCAGACACACACACAGTCACTCAGCCTGTATGTACTTGAAGCCTTTCCAACTTGGGGAGGACCTGCCTGCACTTGCTTACTATTGTCTTGGCTTTGAAGAACTCAGTTTTAACTATAGGATATGGGAAATCTGGAGGCATGAGAAAAAGACGACTTGGGGAGTTTAATTAGCATATTGATTATTTTTAGGTAAATGGGTACTTGGGACATCCTCAAAAACTGCTTGTTTTCTTAAGTAGTTTAAGAGAACTCCCTCTATAATCTTTTTAATTAATTTGGTCATTCGTTCATTCAACTTAATGCCTACTGTGTTAGGTGCTACCAGGGATACAAAGATGATTGAGTCCTCCCTGCCTTCCAGGAAATCACAACCAAGTACACTATTCATTTGTTTCCCAAACCTCTTGGTCAGAGATAGTGCTCAGGGAAATTTCAGTTCAGCTCCTGCTGAAATCCTTACCAATTTCAAATTTGTGAAGTCTGACTGAATGAAATTTAATTTCTATTTATTCCTGGTGCCTCAATGCTCCATTAAGATAGGTTCACTGTAGGACTTAGCTTATTTTGATCATTCACTCTAAAATGGTCAGCATGAAAGGCACTATCGAAACATAAAGTGCTCTCTTTGCTTCTATTACATTTCCAGAAATGCCCCTGTTTGTGTGATGCAAGAAAGGCTAATTCCAAAATTAGTTTCTGTTCTGGGACACACACAGACCAGAAAAGGATAGATGGGGATTAAACAGCCTAGAACTGTTCTGGGTAACAGGGGTAATGTGGCTGTGAATTAACATTTGTCATGCATAGCTTAAAAGCTAGGAAATCTATATAGAAATATTGTGAGGTGATTCTACCACAAGTTTATTACCAAAGCTTCTAAGGAAAAGTCCCTGTTAACAAGTTTCTCCTTTTGTTCCTTTCTTAGGATCAATATAAGTTTGTATACGAAGTCGCACTGGAATACTTAAGTTCATTTTAGCCTAATGGAACAGGGAACCCTGTGGTATCTCAAAAGCCCCCTTTTCTCTGAAAGGCACTAACCAGGGTATAAGGAGTGAGAGACTGGACAGATCCTGACACCACAGAGAAGACTTGGGAACCCCTGCTTTCCTCTGTAGCACTTACTGTTTCATCAGTGGTCTCTTGTTCACCCCAAGAAGTTTAGAGGCCAGACGGGAGAGTCTCCTTTCTAATGGCCCCATGTCTGCAGCACCATCTTGGATCTCCCTCACCTGATCCTGGAGCAATTGGAATTTCTGATCCTAAAGCTCTTGCTTCTTTTGTTCTTTTCAAGTTTGTGAATCTCATGTTACTGTCCTTTGGAAAAGTCAAACCCAATGGAGGAGAAGACATTTAAGGAGGGAGGCATGCACATCCTCTACAGCACCCTCGTCCCATGAGGGTGGATTATAAAGAGCACATATCCCTTATGATGCATAAGGGAGTCAAGTCCTTTAAGGTCACTGGTCTGCTACCTTCTCCTTCTGGATCCCTGGGTACCCAAAAGCCCAATGACCTGGACTGACCCAACCGGGCCAGGCCTCCACGTGCCATTGCTGCCGCAGTGCCAGACTTCAGTGCATCCTCAGTGCATCGCACACACGCAACCTGCATGTGGCCCTGTTCCATTGCCATCCCCCTACGCTTTGACCTCAGCTTTCTGTCTTGTTAACAGAACCAGGGCCAAACGCAGAATCCTGTTAATATTATTTTTTGGGCTTTTGTGGACAGCTAGGGGGATGCTCAAAAGCTTGTCAGTCCTTCTGTGTGTGTCCTAGATTGTGCCTGCCTCTTGTGTCGCCAATCAGGCATCTTGACCCCTGAAACTTCAGGGGACTCCTAAGTGATGGCCTACTGAGTTTGTGTGATGATGCCACCCCTGTGAAGGGGACAGAGTATTTTTCAACAGTGTACCTGAAAAGAAAATGATTTTTTCAATGTAAAAAAAGAAAGTTCATTTTAGCTTAGTGGAATGTAATAGTTTCTCATCTCATAAAAATGGAAATGTTTGAAGGATATGTCTAGAAGTTGTGTTAGCTGACAATGAGGGGTTTGGAAGGTTGGGTAAAGAGTTCGAACAAGACTAGATACAAACTGGGACCAGGAGCTAGTTTGGGTGAGTTACTTTGGCCTGTATTGTGGATGTACTTTCTTCCTTTTTATATCAAATTCTTTTCTAAATAGCTACTACAAAGTAGAGGGAGGCCAGAGGAGGCAGGGGCCTATAAGCCTGCTGCCATCTTGGTAAAGACAATATATATGGTTATCATTAGTCCATTTGCTTTCTGGCCTGGTAGGGGGTGGAAGGGATCAGCTCTGAGCCCCAAGTACAGGGTATGCCTCTTGAAGATCTTTTGTTCTCAGTTTTTAATTTCTAAATCTCCAGAGGTCTGATAAGGATGTCAAGATACATTGTTCTCCATAAACAAAAAGAATAGAAATAACCCCATATGCTTCTGATTTGGATATTTTATAAAATGAAAAGTCATTTCCCTTTTCCCTCCTGGTGTCATTCCCTTGGCTGACCCTCAGTTTTCTAGTTCGGTGACCCCCTGGATCCTGGGGAAGCAGCAAGCTGTAGTGTGCTGTTTGTGTAATAATCCCTACACTTTCCTGATCCTCCTAATGACAGCTTCAGGTGGCTTGGAATGTCTGTCTGACAAAGCACAGCAGTAAGAAGGTAACAGGTGCACCAGGAGCCCTATGCTCCTCAGGGTACCAGATCGCCCAGGCCTCCCATGTTGGCTTATGTTCTTTCCCACTTGCCTCCACCTTCCCCTTCCTGCTTCCTGAAACCTAAACTTCCTTTCTGAAAGAGGAGATAAGGCTTACAATTAATCAATAAACAAGCATTTATTAAGCACTTACTATATGCCAGGCACTGTGCTGAGCACTGGTGATATGGAGGAAAAAAAGTGAAATGGGTCCTGCCCTCAAGGCACATGCTTCTGGAAGAGGGCATATTGACTGTAATTCATAAGAAGATGTAAATGGTTAATATGAGAACCTTTTCAATGAGCAAGCTAGGGTAGAGAGAGGGAGTAGCAAAGGGACACTGAGTGCCAGAACAGAAGAGCTGGGGGAGTCCAGCAGGAGGTAGGAGCACCAAAAAAAAAAAAAAAACCCTACCCAAACTCAACATTAGACAGGACTGACCCTGGCTGCTTAGACCCTGGCTGTGCTTATGCACAACCCAGAGAGAGAACAGAGTTGAAAGGAATATTGAATGTCATCTAATCCAGTCCTCATTTTTCAAGTGAGTAAACCAAGGCTGAGATGTAAGTGACTTGCCCAAAGTCACACAGATAGTGATAGAGCTGAGATTTGAACCCAGATCTTTTGACTCTTTCCATGGTAACACACAACCTATCATCTCTGAAGAGATTGCAAGTGATGTACAGAGCAATGTAGACCTAGGTGCATGCTGGATAGTTTTAGTATCTTAGAATAGTAGCCAGTCAGTCCTCAGAAGAGAACTAGAAACCCAGAGACACGGTCCCAATTCACTCCTGCAGCAGGGTGTCCTCTGAAGCATCTCTACCATTAGCCATTTTTGCCTATAAGGATCTTTTTTCAGAAATACCTACTGAGGAATTCTAATCCATCAGTGATGTTGTCTGCCCAAACTACATACAATGATAAATCCCTGGAAATGATCCTAAAGAAGGTCCTCTGAATTGGGGATAAAGTGAGGTGTTTCTTATGGGGCTGAGTGGGGAAGAGAAGAAACCAGAGAATACCATGCATTGAGGAGGTGAGGAGCTACAAAGGGACTGGGGGAGCCATGGGAGAAGCCACCCCTAGGTACTTTTCAGCAATTCTCTCAGCTTTGGCTTCCAGCAGGGCAACACAAGGCTTGGGTCCTGATTCTATTAACAGTCCCTCTCTCTCCCTGGGCCTGTTTCCTACTTTGCATAATGGGGTGATCTAATAGATGACTTTAGCTTACCAATGAGATGGAAACTTTTTCAGGGCTTAGAGATGTTTGAGCAAACACAATTAGTTGATCTATTCTGTGCCAGATGTGAATTCCATTGGACAACTTGAACTTTGGGGATACTAAACCTGTTCTCCCTCCCCCCTTTTTCTGTTCTTTGATTTTTTTTTTCATTTTTATTTCTCACCAAACAAATATGCAGGTATTGAGACAGAACATTTCTGAGAAAAGCTTGGGCTGGGCTCCCCACTGCTAGGCTTTGTCACCATCAGTAGAGCTTCTGGGATTGTGAAGGGACTCCTATGTGGGGATCAACTTGGGGATCTGCTCCATGGAAGCCTGGGGAGTTTCCTGGAGAACAAGTTCAAAGAAAAGAGAACAGCATTACTGCTGAGGTTAAAGCGAAAGGCAGAGAAAGCCATACAACAGAGTCCCACTCCCAGGCACAGACCTGAACTCCATTCCAACTTCACAACCCAGAGAGAGAACAGAGTTGAAAGGAATATTGAATGTCATCTAATCCAGTCCTCATTTTTCAAGTGAGTAAACCAAGGCTGAGATGTAAGTGACTTGCCCAAAGTCACACAGATAGTGATAGAGCTGAGATTTGAACCCAGATCTTTTGACTCTTTCCATGGTAACACACAATCTATCATCTCTGAAGAGATTGCAAGTGATGTACAGAGCAATGCAGAGATACACAAAGAGTGCAAATAGGCATCAGTATATTACTATAACTTGTGTGCTAGAAGTAAACCTATTGAAGTACTCTCGAATACATCTGGGGGGCTAAAAAATGAGAAGGACTACTCATGTAGAAAGATCATGGGATAAAAGTCAAACAACCCAAGGGCTTCCCCGGTGTCCATGCAATAGTCAAAGAAATAGAGCAAGTCCTCTAGAAGTTTTGTGAGAGGAACACAGCGTGATTAGGTGTGCAAGGGCTGAGATCTGGACCAGTGAAAGAACTTATTGCTCTTATTCAGCCATTCAGTCACGTCTGATTCTTTGTGATGTGGGTCACATATAGGGTTTTCTTGGCATGGATGTTGGAGTGTTTTGCCATTTCCTTTTTCAGTGGATTAGAACAAAGGTTTAAGTGATTTGCCCAAAGTCACACAGCTAGTGAGTATCTGAGGCCACATTTGAACTCAGGTCTTCCAGGCTCAGGGTGCTCTATCCACTGAGCCACCTAGCTGCCTGAACTACCTACACCAATGAAATCACAGACTCATTAAGACATGGCAGTGTCAACCTATATACTTGTCATGTCTCCCTTTTCTGGTGCCATAGTCTCTTTAGAAGCTGTCCTCAAAGAGCTTACATTCTTCTGGGTAGAGGGGCAATGTGGGGGAGCACAGGGAGATATGACCTGTACATAGGTAAAAGAAAGGAGATAGTCTTTAGAAGAATCAGGATAGAGTGTCAGAAACTCTGGACTTCATGGCAGAAGATCAGGGTTTGGGTCTGAACTCTCACATGTTTTAGCATGTGGTGTTAAACAAGTCACATTTCTTCTGGGTGCCTCAGTTTCCTCCTCTATACAATAAGGATGATTGAATTAGTCCTTTTCCTGCCGTAACACTTTGTGATCACCTCCCCTACCCAAAAAAGTCAGTTTTCCATCATTCCTCTGGATATCATCTAGGGAGCAGTGCTGAGAGTAGAGGTTCTATCATAATTCTTAGGGTATGTTCTTTTCTAGAAGGGATGAACAAGATACTGGGGGGGGGGGGAGCAGCTTCAGTAACTCCCAAATGTAGGAATCTCCAACTAAGAGGGAAGAGGGTGAAATAAGGGTGGGGTGAGGGTGGTACAAGTGGATGTGACATGCATGTATTCAGATAAGTATAACATAAGATAGCACAGAGACACAGTGGAGACAGAGCCAAGCTAAGAATTAAGAAGACTGGAGTTCAGGTTCTAACTCTGACATATACTGGCTTTGTGACCCTGGGCAAGTCACTTAACTTAGTTGCCCAGGAAACTAAGGCTATAAGTTGCAGAGAAAATGCCAATCACTAGAGGGTTAGGTGCTCCTCTCTGGGGAGTCCCCATCTGGAAGAAATCACAGGTACCCAACCAAGTTGTGATAGGAAGCAGAGGAGAGATCAAGACAAAATGGCTTGGGAAAAATCTGAGGTGGGAGGAACCTCTTTTAGCCCAGGAAATAAGAAGTCATAGAAGCTATAGTGTGTAGCCTCTGAGCTGTTCTTTGACAGAAGAGAAGGCTTTAGTAATGCAGAGATGAGGAGGGATGGCATTCTAGGAAAGGATTGGGATGCAATCACAAAAAATGAAAGGGGTGAAGGGGAAGCCTATGCTTTCAAAGGCTCTGAGGCAAGAGAGTCAAGTCAATAAGCATTCCTTAAGCATCAACTGTGTGCCAGGCACTATGCTAAGCAGTTAGTGTAGGGGTGGGAGCATTGCAAACAAAGGCAAAAGACAGTCCCTACTCTCAAGGAGCTCATCATGTAGTGGAGAAGACAGCATGGAAGCAACCATGTACAAACAAGATAGGGTCAGGATAAACTGAAGATCAATAGAGGGAAGGCACTAGAATGGAGAGTGATCAGGAAAGCCTTTGTGGGAGCTGGTAGTCCAGCTTGGCTAGAGTGTGGAGTGCCTGAGTGGAATCCCACCCCAGTCACCATCATTGTAAGTGGTCCTTGTGAATTAGAAGTGCTCACTACAAGAGATGTCCATTCTTTCATTCTCCCTGGTGCAGCTCTGAACGAGGCCTCTTGAGAGCCAGAAGCTTTTCCATCTCACTCACTCCATTTACCCTTCAGGTTCCAGCCCACCCTAGAATATACCCAGGTAATAAGCAAGTATAAGGAAGTTGTCCACATGTGCCCTTGGCATCTCTCCAAAGAGAGCAAGATTTTCTTTTAAATCCATCAGAGCAACATTTACTGTCACTGATGCAGACCGTCCTTTCTCAGAGTCCAAGGTTAATGTTGCCTCTTCTCAAAGAGAGAAAGCTGCCAGATGCACCAGCAACAATGAATAAGGTCTTACTGGGAATCTCCAGAGGCCCCTGGGGAGGAGGTAAATGAGTCTGGAAAAGCCTTGGGGTCCATTGACACACAAATAACACCCAGGTATGAGGCTATGTCTAATAGAATGTGTGTGCGTGCGTGTGTGTGTGTAATCCCACATGCCCAATTATAGCCTTTTTCTTTATTCCAGATGGCCTTCCCCAGAGCAGGTATTTATCTTTGTCATATGTCATAGGCTTTAAAACAAGGAAGGATGGAAGAATCATCTGTCCTTATTCTTTCATTGTGCTGATGAGGAAACTGAGGTCTCAGAGAAGTTAAGTAATCCAAGCAAGGTTCAAACCAGGTCCTCTGACTCAAGCGCTCTTTCTCCTCTACATCTGTATGTGCACTGACCTCCCCATTGGGGAGTTAAAGTAATGGGGCACAAAAAGATAAAGAATCATAGATCCAGAGCTCGTCGGGGCCTCAGAGACCATCTGTTCAAACCCTCTCTCTTTACAGATGGGTAAAGTGGGAACCAGAGAGGTTAAGTGACTTGCCCAAGAGCATACAGATAGGGACTGCAACAGGTAGGTGGGACTGCAGCTTAGATCCTCTAACTCCAGATCCAATGCTCTTTTCACTGCAGTGTGCTGCCCGAGCCTAAGAAGAAAGGCCAGGTACCCAGGTGAGAAGGTGAAGAGTCTTCACTCTGAAAGGATGAGGGCTGAGCTCAATGTGGAAACACTGTTAAGGACTGGATGGCCTTATTCACCAAGTCCTACAGTACTAGTTAGAGGAAACCTTTAGATCATGAAATAGGCATTTAGGACAGACAGAGAGAAGGTCAGATTTTACTCAGTAGGATTAAACTGAAGGAATTTGTTGCCGTGACCTGAAGATCTATAAATGCATTCCTAAAGAAGCTAAGATAAATTTCTAGACCCTTGAACAATGGCAGAGTATTAAGAGAAGTAGTGGTATTTGGATATATCCCTAATCTTTGATATTGTTGTCAAGGAAGAAGTCCAAATTCAGCCCCAAGTCAGTTTTCAATACAGCCATCTGAGACTGCATCCTGTTCCAGATGGTAGAGGATCTGGCCTTGGATGGTGGTTCTTTTCAGGAATAAAAAGAGAGTGGGCAGGTAAATTATGTAATGTCCCAAACAGGAAATTATTGGAAGGGCCTATCAGGCCAACAGCCCCTCAATTACCCAGAAAGGAAGAGTATGGGATCTGGGAAAAGTCCTAAAGAAGGATATGAGAAAGGGAACCCGATTCCTCTGCAAATGAGCAGAGAATTCGTCTGTCCTGAGAACCTCAATCCAAGCCTGCTCACTCAGGCTCTTGCTAGACCAGGTGGTAGAATTCAGAAATGTTTGTGACCTTGGATGCATTTCTGGAAGAGACTACTTCCCTTGTCCCTCCTGCAGGTAGCAGGCCATCTATAGAGACATTCCAGAGAAACCCAGTGAAGATGAGGCCAGAATTCAGGAGCAAAGAATTCATCTCAAAAGAAAATGCCTCCAAAAACGGGAATAGGCACAGAATGAGGATCAGAAAGAGACAGAAATGAGCTGGGATAGTTATGTATGTAGAGCACCTACGGGACAGGTCCAGGGGAAAGGCATAGGAGAGTCTATACCTTACAAGCACAGGTAAATTCTCTTTTAGAGACATACTGGGGCCTTGGCAAGGTGCCAGGCACCATGGGTGGGAAGCAACACCCAGAGGCGGAGCTGACAACTCCCTATTTCTCTATTTGCTACCAGTGAGCCTGATAAGGCTTCATTTTGCTGCAATGAGCAGAACTTTGACAAAGCAAGGAGGGTCGCTGCAAAAGATGAAGTGTAGAGGGGAAATCAAATCTCATAGAAGTCACTAACTCAGGAACATGAAATGGTTGCAACCAGGAGACAGGATTATGATATAAAAAAGCCACCAAGAAACAGGTCTAGAACATAAGAAAGCCACCAGGAGACAGGCTTAGAATGTAAAAAAGCCACCATGCAAAGGGGGAAGTAAAGATACAGGAACAAGGTGAGAACAAGCATTATGAGAAGGAAGATCATTCCATTCATTCATTCAATGTTGATTAGCCACCCACCTTAGATCATAAATCATAGGAATTAGAGCTGAAAGAAACCATTGACAAGTCCAATCCCATCCCTACCACTTTACAAATAAGAAGATAGGTCTTGGAGGAAAAAAAAAACTTGGAACTTATAGGATTCTAAGATTCAGAGCTTAAATATCGTATGGCCAAACCCTCTCCTTTTACAGAGGAGGAAAACTGAGATCCAGAGCAGATATGTGACTTGCCTAAAGTCACACAGGTAGAGAGTAGCAAAGCCAGACTCCAAGTCCAGGACTCTTTCCCCTCTGGCATGATGCTTATGCAGGACCCAGTATCCCTGTGCTGGAAGAGATGCAAAGATAAATAAGGAACAATCTTTGCTCTGTCTGCATGGAGTTTACCATCTGTTACAGGTCCTTTTTCTTTTCTTGTATCAGACCCCTTTGGCAGACTGATGAAGCTGTTGGATTCCTCAAAATCATGTTTTTAAATGCACAAAATCAGATACATAAAACCTTATTTTGAAATAGTTATAGAGTTTTTATAAGTTTGTGGACCCTAGGTTAAGAACCCCTGATCTAATAGATCAGATCTCATAAAAACAGAATGCGGCACAGAATGGGAAGATTCCAGAAAAGATGCACAAAATTTGTATGAGAGTTTAGAAGAGCACTCTTCTGACTGGGAGACTAAGGAAAGACATCTGGAGTACATGGCATTTGAGCTGAGCCTTGAAGGATGACAGCAGACTTTCAATAGCCAGAGGTGCTGGATAGGTAAAGGAAAACTGGGAGCAAAGGCAGGGCAGATTTGACTGTGAAGAGCTAGGCCACATTTTTCCTCTCTGGGACCATTTTTATATTTATAGACATTTTGTTATTTTCACACTAGCTTTCTCCACACATTTTCTCAATAGTGTCTGGATTTCCACTGCTTTAGCATAACTTCCTGACATGCACACAGTCTAGTGCTAAGTTTCTTGTAAAGCAAACTGGCAGTAGCACTCTGGGCCCTAGCAGATATGACAGAGATGCTACATTCAGTTCATGGTCCCCAAAAAAATATTCATTGGCCTCACTGAATTTTAATTTTCTATAGTAATTGCTGTTTTCTTTCCAAAGCAATTTCCTCATGATAGCCCTATGAAAGAGGTAGTAGGAGAATTATTTTATAAATGAGGAAGCTGAGGCTTAAGAAGCAGAGGGTATTATTTCCCTGGATCACCAAACTAAGCTGGACTCATGACTCCTGGCCTAGAACTCTCAGTTGCACATTTTGGCTACATTCCATCCTCTCCCAACCTGTTAGTTGTTCAACCTACTGCCAATCTGGAGGGAGTCCCAACCCTTCATCCTAAAGGGAACATTAGCCATGGCCTTGCCTTTTTCCACATCAAGCCAGAAGCCTTGGCCCACTGTAACCAGACGCTATAAACCCCAGGTATTTAGAGCAGAAAAACAGGCACTAACAGAACTAAGAGATGCTGGAGATTTAGACTGGCACTTGTAGCCGTACACATCATCCCACAGAAATGCGCCTTGTCTAGCCGACAGGAGAAGGCACCAACTACAGTAGCTTGGGACCACACAGAGTCAGAGCGTATAGGGTATTCTCACAAGAAAAAGGACCCTAGCCTTTTAGCCAACAGTACCATATATGGTACAATGTTTTGTAATGAAGAGCAATGAAAAGTGTCTCTTATCTTTCAGTTCTGCTCACAGCACTCCTCTTGTCCCTCAACGGAAACAGTTTATGACTATGCCTAGGTATAAACTCAGCTGGAAATGGAAAGGACCTCAGGGTCCCCTGGTCCTAGTCCTCACTTGAAGGAAGGACTGTGTAAGCCAGTTTGCGTAAATCCAGGGTGAAAATCCCCACTGTTGTTTCAGTCATGGCCCATGATAGGATTGGCACAAGTTGCCTGTGATGTTTCACCAATACTAGTAAGACTTTGCACGTGGATCTTGTTAAGAATTTTAAAACTCTTTCACATTCATGATCTCATTTGGTCTTCAAAGCTCCTCTGTGAGCAGTGCAGGGATTATTAGGCTTGGCAAAAGAAAAATCTTGTAATGATTACAATGATCCAAAACTGGAATGTGCGATCAGGGCGGGGAAGGGGGCAGGTCATGGGCTCACTCTTGTTGGGGTGTTTAGGCGAAGGCTGGTTGGCTTCTATGCTGGTCAAAGAATAGAAGGATTCCTTTGAGGTGCCTTCGCCTCCAACTCTGAAAGTCTGGGACTCTATAAGGACTAGAATGAGGATACATTTTACTGATGAGGAAACTGATATGTTAAATGACTTGCCCACGTATACTCAGGTGGAAAATGACAGAGACGGGCCTGAAGGTCATGTCCAAGTTCAGGTAAAGTACCTTTACAATGAAAAAGTACATGCTCCTAGTCTGTCCTCTCCCACACTCTGGATGCTAGTGGGGGCCACCAAACCCCTACAGAAAATAACTCAGCTTTTCTGGGACCCCCCTAGAAACTTGCCTGGCTTTTTAGAACATCTAAGAGAGTATTGTTGATGAAGTCTGGACCAGCAGGGATTTAGATACAAAACAGAGTGGGCTGATCGTGATGAATGATTTGATCTTTTGCTCATCTAAAAAATAGGGTGGGGAGAGGGCATTAGAGAGGTGACAGTACAAATATCCATAACTTGTTCTGGTCATTGGCTATGCACTGAGCCAAATCAGGGAAGTCTGGACTTTCATGGTTACTAAGAGCAGAATTTCTCAACCCAAATCATACTATGGACAGTTTAACACTATTCATATTTCAACAATACCATTGCTAACCCCAGGCAAATGAGAGACCTGCAGTAGAGATAGGAGTGGCATAAGAACATATATTTAGTGTTGGAAATAAGCATCATCTAAACCACTAAGACTCCCCCCACCTTAATACGAATGAACATTCTGAGGGCCAGAGAGCTTAAAGAATTTTCTATAGTAACACCGGTAATCAATTAATCAGTCGCTGCCATGTGCCAGGTGCTGTGCTAAATATTAGGAATACAAACACAATGAATGAAGCAACCTCTAGCCACAGAGAGCTTCTGTTCTAATAGGATACACAAGGATAAATATAAGCACATATAGAATAAATCTAAGGAGAAATACAAATAATATTAGGTGGTTAAAAAACAAGATAGCTTCAGAGAGAATGTATTGAGTGCATCGCAAAAGGCTTCAGTAGAAGGTGGTAGTTGCATCATGAAGGAAGAAATTCTGCAAGATGGAGGTGAGCAGGGAGTACATCATAGGCATGGGGAATGGTCACTACAAAGCAGAGGCAGACAGAGCGCTGTATATGATGGGCAGAGAAAAGGTCGGTTTTGTTGCATCACAAATAGTGTGATATGAGGAGCAGGGTACAATGAGACTGTTGGAACCAAATTGTAAAGGATTTCAAAATCAAAACAGGAATTTATATTTGATCCTAGAGGCCATAGGAATCCAATAGGGAGTTTGAAGAGAGGACTGATGTGGTCACATCTGCACTTAAGGAAAGTCACTTTGGAATCAGTGTGGACTGAAGTGGAGAGAAACATGAGGCAGGGGGCCAATGAAGAGACTGCTGAAATAATCTGGGTGACAGGTAATGAAAGGCTGGATTAAGGTGGCAGCTGGGAGAGTGGAGAGAAGCAGTTGAATTGAAGAGATGTTATGGGTATACAAACAGCAAGATTTGACAACCAATTGGCTATATGGGGTAAGAGAGAATGTGCTGTCAAGGATGATGCCAGGGTTACAAACCTAGAAGAATGGTGATGCTTTTGACAGAATTTGGGAAGTTTAAAAGAGGGGTACGTTTAAGAGGAAAGATAATGAATTCTGTTTTGGAGGTGTTGAGTTTGAGATGTCTCAGATGAGATTTGAACCTAGGTGTTCTGACTCCAATCCAACCTAGCATACTTTCCCCTGTACCATGGCTCCAGGAAGGCAAAAGCTGGTTCTTATGCTAATGAATTTTCAGAAGCAAGAACCGTTGGTGGTACGCGTGTGGCAGAGAGGAAACTTTGCTTCAGTCTGGCACAGGTTAACTGGAAACAGCGTTTTAGAAAATCCTGTAGCAGTCAGTCAACAAACATTTATTACTATGTGTCAGGCACTGTGCCAGATGTTAGAATGAACAGCTCTGTTTCTCTTTATGGCTTGAAGTGTGTGATGGTGGGTAGAGTGTCTGGGGATGGATATGCTGAGACTCTAAGCCACAGCACACCTCAATGCCACTGACAAATTGACTTGTGTATGAATGAGAGAATTAATAGGTCAAAATATAAAGGTTTTCTTTTCAGAAGGCTCTCTTACATTGAGAAGAGACAATATGTACATATAAAAGGAAATACAAAATATTTATAATGTATACATACATACAAAATATACAAAATGCAAACACAAAATGACTGGGGGCACTAATAACTGCAGAGATTAGGTAAGGTTTTGTGTAGATGGCAGCACTTGAATGGAAATCTGAAGAAAGCTAGGGATTCCAAGTGGTGCAGATGAGGAAGGAGGGCATTCCAGGTATAGAGAACTACTTATTCAAAGACACAAAGAGGGGAGAAAGAACATTGTGTATAAATCTAATTTCTGGGAAACTTCCTACAGGACTCCAGCAACACAGGGATCTGGGAAGGTAAGCACATCTGGGTTCTTAGACCATCATTACCCTGCTCCAGAGTGGCATTCATGTCCCAGCCCTGTGAGTCTGGTGTGCTATGGGTCAATGACCTTGTCCTCCATTTGGATCACTAACAAAGTCTTACTCAAAATCTTACCTAGAGAGGGCAGCTAGGTGGCGCAGTGGATAGAGCACCGGCCCTGAAGTCAGGAGGACCTGAGTTCAAATGTGACCCCAGATCAAACACTTGACACTTACTAGCTGTGTGACCCTGGGCAAGTCACTTAACCCCAATGCCTAAAAAAAAAGGGAAAAAAAGAAAAAAAAATCTTACCTAGAGAAATTGAAAGGCTGCCATGTGGAAGGGAGATGAGATTTATTCTGCCCTGGAGGATAGAAGTAGGGACATGGGGTAAAATTTTCAGAAAGACAAATTTAGACTCAAAAGGATTGTAGGAAAGGATCATAGTTTTAGAGCTAGAAGCAACCTTAGGGGCCATCCAGTCAAATGCTCTCACTTTACAGATGAGGAAACTGAGGCCAGGAGAAAGGAAGTGACTTGCCTAGGATCATACAGATAATAAATGGCAGAGGCAGCATTTGAACTCAGATCCCAAGACTCTAAGTTCAGTATTCCCAGCCCAGTGCCCATTCTATTGAACCACATTACCTCTTACGCAAAGAAAAGTGGAATGGGCTGCATGAGGAGGTAGTAGGTTCCCCTAGCTGGAAATCTTAGAGCAGAGACTGGATGACCACTTGAGTGTGTTATGGTAGGAATTCATTTGGGGGCATGGGTTGGACTAGATGAACTCTAAATGCCCTAGCAACTTGCAAGTTCTGTGAATCTGCTAAATGAACCAGTGGTTGTACAAAGGCTAAGCATCTGCACTTGTGTGGGTGTCCAGAGTCTTGTACAAAGCTGCCTTAGTGGTGAGATGCCAGCTTCCTAATTTCCCACAAAAACTCAGAACACACTTGAACCTATGATGATCACACACCCGAATCTGAACTGTCTACAGGGAAGAGGGCCTGTGCCCCCAAGCAGAAGGAAGAAGAATGCCTCATATGTCCTTTGTACTTTTACATTTTCCACACACTTTCCTTGAAACAACCCTGAGAAGCGTTTTCATCTCCATTTTCCAGGTGATTAAAATAACTCTCAGAGAAATGAAGGCAGTTGCCCCAAGAATGGCTTCCTAGACTGCAGGACAGCTCCTTTGTTAATTACTGAATAGCCCTGGATTCCTACCTATGCATCTACTCGTGAAAGGATTACTCACCTTCAAGGCTTCCCTCCTCCTTTCAAAGCTTTCATCACAAAGCACACTGCTTCTGAGATGAAAGCCCAGCTTCTGCCCTCTCTTTCTCTAGCCCCTGAGCTTTTTTCTTGACAAGCCTAAGAGTAAGGCATGGAGGGAGCAAAAACACAACTCCCTACATCAGGCCAACTTAGCTGTCCCCTTTCTCGACTTTGGCTAACCCATCACTGTGACTTCCCTACCACTGCCACCACACATACAGTTCAGTACCCAGGCTACGTTGGTTAGCTCAGACTAGCCAAGAATGCAGATAGGATGCAAACACATCTTCCTGCCCACCTTTTGTTTTTTCTCCTTGATAGTATTGCTGACTTGAGATAAAGACTTTCCTCTATGTTTTCATCGTTGGACCCTGGTCTCCTAGATTCCCCTAGGAGTTCCTTGGATGCAAAGATTTTACGTACTTGGAACGGTGCATTTACGTGACATCTTCTTGCTATCCACAGTATCCACCCTGAATCTCAGTGACACACGTGTATAGTTTGGGTATTTGATAGATAAAGCATGTATGAAACATGAACACGACAAATCAACACAAAAATGTCAACAGTGTGTAGTCAGTGAGTTTGTTCCTTTTGAGCTCAAGAGAAGGAAGGCACATACTGTTAGATTAAGGACTATCAGATCTATTTTTTGATTGTACATTACAATGAAGTGTAATTTTTTCTTTTTTTTTTTACAACTGCAAGCTCATCTTATTTATTCTTGTAAATGTTCTCAGATAATGTTTGTAATATGGGCTGTGTTGCAAATCCATACGATTAAATATGTGATCCTAAGATTCATGTTTTCCTAGGAGATTTGCATTGCTGTCTTATTGTCCCTGGGGGAGGACTCAGAAAATGACTTGGGAAGAAAATCAAAGGAACTGCCTGCAGCTTTACTAGTTTTGTTCCCTGACGGCAGCTCCCAACTGTAAACAACAGGTTGTCCATAATGACCAAAAATGTCACAATATCCATTCCTCATGATCTTCTGCGGTCAAGATAGGAACACATCAAGAGCCAAAACTAGGGTGGGATGACTTGAGCTTTGTCCAGATTTAGTGAGCATCAAGTTTGGAGGGCAATGATAGCACTAATAGTCCTTCAGCTGCGATAGCAACAAGAGATCTTAGCACCTAGTTAGCAACAACAGCTGATTAAAACAAGAAACTACTACATGGTAGGTTGCTATCAGTTCATCCCTGAGCCTACTTTGCTTCTTCAACACATTGTCTACATGGCAGCCTCATGCTAATGTCCTAGACACTCCCCTTCATAAGATGGTGGCCTGCCCCTTTACCCCTCAACTGGTGGCATACTTTGTACTACTTGCCCCTGAAATGGATCATTGTACTTTCCCTATCAGAAAATTTCCTGGCTAAGGCTCTGAATGTGCCCTAAATCTTGTTATGCACTTGATCTCTCTCTTGCTGTCTTGCTCTTCCTCCCCTTCTCTCCCCTTCTCCCTCTCCTCTTTTCCCCTCTCTTTGTCTCCTTCTCCCTCTCCTTCCTTCCCTCCCTCTCTCTCCTGTCTTCTCTCCTCCTCCTTCCCTGTTTCTCCTCCTCCTTCCCTCCCTCCCTCTTACTTCCCTCTCTCTCTATCCTTCCCTCCCTCTGTCTCTCTCCCTCTCTTTCTAGTTAAAATTGAATTTAAACTCTTATAGAACAAATATACTGTCTCATACATATAATACACATAGATAGAGACAGAGATGTAGATAGAGATATCTCCTGTCCTCAGGGTTTTTTATTCGCTACTTGAGGCAAATTCTATGAGAGTATTAGATTAATTTAAGGATGTGCATTTCAAAGATTGCTTGGTGTATTGGATAGATGGCTTTGGTGTTAGGAAGACCTGGGAACAAATATTACCTGTAACACATATCAGCTGTGTGCCCTTCAGCAGATCACAACTGCTCAGTGCCCCAGGGTATGCTCAAAGACCCTCACTTACAAAAGAAAGCTGCTGACCTTGAATAGCAGAGGGATTTCTCTTACCTGGAAGTACCCTGTAACAATGACATTACCCATCCAAGCTAAAAAAACCAAGGATTTCAAAATCCAAGAGCCTGTACAGGTATATACACATATGTGAACTTGTGTTAAGACAGGATAAGACTATAAATTATGAGGAAATCCTGTTTTCTGGAATTTGATAAGCAATTAATGGCCTGCATCCTTATAAGAATATTTTTCATGGAAATCCCAGGCTGTCCAGTGTGCATAATGCAGCAAAATATGAGCTTATTTTGAAAAAATAAAAGGAGAGGGAGGACATCACCCAGAACAAAGCTCTTTGTAATCCTTCTGTAATTTCTCAGTCCTATATCTTTGCCCCAACTCCAGTTCACAGCACAGAACTTCAACATTTGCCAAGTGGCTGATTTTCCCCTTGGGGACTCAGCTTTGTGCCTGGCCTAAGTCTCTGGTTTCCATTGGTGACTGCTCACTCAGCAGAGACAGAGATGTCACTGAACAATTTCCTCCAAGCTGGGCGTGCTAGCATCTAAGACCCTGTCATTTTGGAGAAATTGGATTCCAGAGCAGTGCACCGTGACATGCTTTTCTGAAAGTGTCACCAGTTATAGAGATCATCTGGAACACCCACATGGGAGCTGCTCTGTGCCTGAGTGACCCAGGAAAATGGCTTAAGGAAGCAGCAAAGTGTGGCCATAGTAGCAAGGGACTTACAGAGTTCTAGTCCCAAAGTTGACATTAATTAAATAACTACATGCCTTCTCTAGGCTTTGGTTTCTTCTGACTAGCCACTAAGGGGCAGGGCAGAGCAAGGCTAGGCATCCTTTTATCTCCTAACACTGACATCAAGGAATCAATAGCCTCCCTACAGCTCACACAGATGGAGATGGCTTCATCTTTCTTTCCATCCTAAGATCAGCAAAACTATCCTAGGACTTCTAGCACAATGTTCCTCTCTAGGGGAGAAGCAGCTGCCTTCCCACCAGGCTTTCATTCTTTAGGAATTCTCTGTGACAATGGGTCTAGAAACAAGGGTTGTTGTCATTCTGCATTATTGGCAGTCTGGTGAAGCCTGTGCACTCTTCAGAATGATGTTTTTAAATGCATAAAATACATAGGATTACAAAAGAAGCCAATTTTATTGAAATGGTTACAAAAATATTCTTAATAAACAACTTCCCTCACCTAGAGGATGATAATGATTCACACGATCTTCCTCCTTGATTTGAGGTCTCCACTCATGTACCCATCTTTCACTAAGGGTCAATAGCAACTCCTGTCACTTTAAATCTCAGACTAGCTCTAGCCTTCTCCCTATCTCTCAGTTTCACTCCTCGCCTTCATTAACCAAGCCATTTTGGGTTGGTGGCCACCAAGATTTTATAGCACTGTTACTATAGCAAAAAAATTATTGCAGATAATTAAGGAACAGTTTATTTGCAAGGCAGGCTGCCTGAGGCTACAGCCAGCAAGGAACTTGAACTGGCTTCTCTTTACCCTCTCCCTTCTCTAGATGGGGGATAAAAGTGTAGGGAATGATGGGCAATTAAATGGAAAGTCGTTTCTCAGCCACAGATGGAAAAGGGAAAAGGAAGATGTCCAGGATCCAGTATACACTACTTACCAGGCCACTCCATGACCCACCTTCTTCAATGGCACCCATTCTGGTCTATACTACTCACAGCTCCATTCCTGTCCAGTCACACTTTGAGCTCTACAATCTCCCCTGGGGTCTGTGGGTGGGGCAATGGTCACCTAACTTTGCTCCCCGTTTGGAGAATCTAGGATGCTGTCAGTCTTGACTAGATTCCGAGCATCTCCATCATGGCTACATCATTTTCTTCCCTGCTTCAACATCCCTTTGCACAAGTTCACTCAAGTTCAAAGTCAAAACTGCTGGTTCTTGAGAAATGCTAAGATCTGCCCATCCAAATACCTTCCAAGTGTCCCAGGCTTCCCAGGGTCACATCTGTAAAATTATAGGGTTACACATGTTTTAAGGCCCCTTTCCAGCCCAGACATTTTATTTTCTACGTTCCTAAGTCCTTTCTAGCTTGACATTCTACGTTCTAAGGCTCTTTCTAGCTCTTGGCATTCTATACC